TCGGCCAAGCTCGTCGTCTGCAGCGACGGGTAGCGTCGGCATGCCCAACGCTCCTCTTCCACCCATCGGACATGGGCAGCCTGCCCCATTTTTCGAGGGAGTGCATCGCAATGCTGCACCAGGCCATTCTTGGCCTGCCGCCCGACAACCCGAAGACTTTCCACCTTTTGCCCACCAACCCTCTGCTCATCGGACAATGATGCCATACCCTCATCGATCCAACTCACTCGGCCACGTCGAAAGCTTTGATCAGCTCGCTGGACGACCATCGGCAAGCGCTGCGGCGCCACCAGCGCAGTTGAATCCGCATTCGATGCCCGTTCGGCCGTACACAGGAGGCGCAAGTCCTGCGTCGCGTTCATTGCCGCTTCGTCCGGGTCGGCAGCGGTCCCACACTATGCAGTCGCCCACTGCGTCTTCAGTCTACACGGCCGACTACGATCGTTCTGCGTCGCCGAGCACCAGCACCTCACACGGATACGGCCCTTCGTCGCATGGCATGCAGCGACGACCTCATCCGTACATGTAATTGTATCTGTCTTAGTAGCCATGGACTATGCGCGCATTATCGAATGCTTGACTGCGTCGTTGTCAATGAAGTTCGGCGAGCGATCTCTTCCGTCCCTGATGTGAATCGATTCCATGCGAAGCACGTGGGATTGCGAACACATAGCGTGGTCTCTAAGAGAGATACGTTGACAAGGTCCATCCACGCAGGATTCCTGCGCAGCACCCTCACGATGCGCATCAATCAGCAGCGATCCGCGCTCTGATGTGTGGCTGTCGCTTTTCGACGTGGCAGTGCGACACAACGCCATGACTCTCGATGCAGGCCGCGGGACTGCTCTGTCTATTCGTCAGTGTCGTCCCCACATTCTCATCTCGGATCTCTCCGCGATAGGCTCCCGTCGCGGCTGTCAGATGCAAAGGATAGAGGGTCCAAGATAGCGGTGTGCGGGTTCGATGCGAGCTCAGATTCAAGCGCCCCATCGTCGTGGGGCAAGGGTCTCGGTACGTGTTGCCCATGCATGCCCACGCCCAGTGGCGAGACGTCCAACAGGGCGGCTCACGAATCCAAACGATCGAGCTACTCAGTAGGATAGAGCGCACATCCAAGTCAGGCCTCAACAAGCTCGATCGTAGCAAAAGACACCCAAAGACTCGATTCGAGGCTCACGGACGTTTCCGCAATCATCAGATCGGTTTTGCCGCATAGTGGCATTCGACGGCGCCTCGATCGACGAAATGGTGACGGTCACAGTGATTGGGACCGAAGAAATCACCGGGAGCCAACTTGAACGACGGTGTTCGAGCTCCGCCCGATCCTCCTCTCCTGGAGCGGCCAATTGTAGCGACCGAGGGAAGCCCGAAGCCATTGTGGACCACACATGCGATGTATTGCATGATTCAACCTGGCAAGAAGAGCCTCAAATGCAAGTTTGTGCACGAGTGCGGGGTATCCAGCCAAGCGAAGGACGCAGAACAGCAAAGCGAAAAGATTCGAGGAGCGAGACGATTGTTCTCGCGTCCATGAAGCAGTCGAGTGCGAATGGAGGAAGGGTCAGACCGGCGACCTGTTGGTTCCCCGACGTCGACGCCCCTTAGAACGAAAGAGACAGGAGCACAAGGAGGGGAAACACTGTGCGAGAGGGAGGGCGAGGCAGAGGAACGGCCAGAGGGCGACGGGGTTGCTTTCCTGCGGTCGATTTTGCTTGGCATGCGGCAGAAGCGGTCAGGCCGAGGATAGAAAGAGGCAGACCGCCGCTGCCACCGACAGCCGCGAACTCGACTTGACCGGTGTGATTCAACCGGAGTTGGCGATGTCTGGCACGCGAGCGAGCCGGCGAAAGGAGCGGACCGCTCCCCCGCGTTCCACTGATGAGACTCGCAGAGCATGGCGACCTCCTTACTGTAGCTCTGCCGGCTCAAGGCGATCTAGTCAGGATGCCAAGACATTCGGAGATTCGATGCCACATGCACACGGGCAGGGTTGCGCGCAAACGTCTGGAAGGAGACGCGAATACTGTGTGTGTCGATTTGCGCATTGTTGGCCTTCAGGACCGCTTTCGACTAAACCCGATTGTTCATAGAGATATGCCTCTGCTCTCGAGACGGGAGGGAGGCTGAAACATGAGCCTCTCGTATGTTGCTGCTGCTCAAAAAGCCAGTTCGATTCGATTCAGCAACGAATCCGCCCACGCTTCGCCTTCGAAGCCCGCTCGATTCGCCGGTTGACACCTGCGCACGCTGACTGACAGCCTGGTCCCTGTGTCTCGCTTCCCTTCTTCATCCTAGAGTCATGGTGGGCGACATTCCTGCAGATGGCTTCCCATTCCAGGCGCACGTCGAATGTCGACGGAAAGTAGCGTTGGAATCGGATCAATCCGATTGGTTGCGCCGTGCTTTGCTTCGCCCTTCGCATCGATCAACTTGCGAGAGGCTCGCATGACTCTAGCCAATGATATGACCCGCTTTACTCGACGCAGTTGCACGACTGTTGACCGTTCAGCAGAAACCGCGGTCTCAATCCCTCTGTCTCTGCCTCTCCTTGTGTCGTGGGGCTCCGCCTGCAGGACCGCAGACTGAAAAAAGTGCGAGTCGCATGGCATAATCCTGGAGGCACAGAGACTGGTGAGCATTCAAGCTCGAGAGATCTCGTGGCACTTGGAAGGGAGCTGTCCACGGCTGTCGACTCAGTCCTGTCATGTGGGGCTCCGTCCGGTTCAGTGGCATACCCACAAGGGGCCCCATGGCTCGACCAAAAGCATAAATACCTTTCAGCACGCAGCTCAACAACTCGACGCCCCACTCCGGTCACAGCACAGCCCTCCCCCTCTCCATCACTTGCTTCCATCAACATGTTGCTCTCTCATCTACGGGAAACACCGCGAGAAGCGCGAGGCTGGCGTCTCTGGTTCAGCGCCTGGGCTGTCGGCGCCCTGGGTATCTCGCGTGGTCTCGACGAGGGCATCATCTCTGGTGTACTCAAGCAGCACAGTTTCATCAAGACGTTTGGCTTTGACGACAATTCGCCTCAGGAAGCCACGATTGCATCGCAGCTGCAGCTGGGCTCGGTGGCAGGTTCTGCCATCGCCTTCTTCCTCTGCGATCGTCTTGGTCGTCTGCGTACTTCGATGCTCGCCTGTCTTCTCTGGACCTTCGGCACTGCTATTTGGATGACCTCGGCTGGGATCCACGGAACGCACCCGCCAGGTAACTACCACCAGCTGCTCGCTGGTCGTTTCATTGCTGGCTTGGGTGTTGGCTTCACTTCCGTCGTCGCTCCCGTCTACCTGGCCGAGATCGCACCAAAGGCGATCCGCGGTCTCTGTGTTTGCATCTTCTCCGGCAGTGTCTACATTGGGTGAGTAAAGCACGTCAAGTCCCTTGTACGCGAACAATTTGACCAGAACGCAATGCTGACACGGCTTTGCTGCTTTGCGTCGTAGTATTCTGTTGGGCTATCTGTCGAACCTTTCCACGTCGATTCAGTACGAAGATGCCAGGCAGTGGACGATTCCCGCCGGCATCAATTTCATCTTTGCCGGGTTGACTTTTGTCGGCTGTCTCTTCGCCAAGGAGTCGCCTCGTTGGCTCATCAAGCAGGGCAGGTACGAGGAAGGCCGCAAAGTGCTCAGCTACCTTCGCAACCTCGACGAGGACCATCCTTTCGTTGTCAACGAGGTCGAAGTCATGGAGCAGCAGATCCAAGCCGAGAAGGAAGCGCTCGAAGGACTCAACGTCTTGCAGATCCTCAAGAAGCTCGTGACGAACAAGAACAACCAGTACATCCTGTTCCTTGGCCTGGGCATCCAAGTGCTCGGTCAGCTCAGTGGCGGAGGTGTCTACACGATCTTCGCGCCCAAGATCTTTGGTCTGCTTGGCGTTCCAGGAGGAACGAGGACCAAGCTGTTTACGACGGTGATCTTTGGTATCGTCAAGCTGCTGTCTTCGCTCGCGGCTGCCTTCTTCCTGGTGGATCTGCTGGGCCGCAAGACGGCGGTGACGACGGGCCTGCTGTTGCAGTGCGTGTGCTCGCTCTACCTGGCCCTCTTCCTCAAGTTCACTGCGGGCGTCACCAAGAAGAACGAGACGCACTCGGACAAGTCGGCTGCCACGGGAGCCATCTTCTTCTTCTACCTGAGCGGACTTGCCTGGGCGATCGGTGTCAACTCGGTGCAGTACCTGACGCAGACGGAGATGTTTGACATCACGGTGCGTGCGCTCGGTGTTGCGGTGGTGTCGCTGGTGCACTTTGCCATGCAGTACGCTGCGACGCGCACGCTGAACCCGATGCTGCATGCGTGGGGCAACTTTGGCACGTTCCTGTTCTACGCCATGATCGCACTTACGGGCTGCCTGTTTGTGTTCTTCTTCATGCCCGAGACGGCGGGCATGCAGCTCGAGGACATCCACAAGCTGTTCGAGAAGCCTTGGTACGCCATTGGCTGGACCCAGAACCGCCCGGCCAACAGGCGCAAGGCAACTGCGAACGATGCGCTGACCAACAAGCCCCAGCTCGCTGGCGACTTGTCGTACGACGAGCAGAAGAAGTCGCTGGACGAGGATGCCGACGAGAAGAAGCACTAGAGACGGCGTTCTCCTTGCTCTGCATCAGCTTCGCTCTCCGTTTGGTGTTCCTCTCATGATTCGCTGTATCTTACACCCTGTATGTTGTGCCGGAATGTCAATTTGCTCTCCCTCTTGCGATCTCTCTCTCTCTCTCTGCCTTGTCGTCCTCGCGGCTGCCAGGGACCATCGGCAAACTTCGCACACTTTGACAGCTGCACAGAGATGAGATGAAAAAATCAAAACCCGAAAACAAAAAATTCGATAGGAAAAAAGGGCGAACAAAAAAGACGAGAGAAGCGGCTCGATACGGCCACATACTGTATGTCCGTCCATACCGGTGCTCTTGCGCTGAAATGTGCCTCGAGTGTACGCTCGCTGCTGCATGGCATCGATGCAATGAGCGAAGACGACCGAAAAAAAAATCAGAACGGTGCGAGTCGGGTTCGAACCGACGCTCGCATAGCGAATTAGTTAATCAGCGTGAAGCACAACCGTTGGAATCCATGATTCAAGACTAACCCCTTAACCACTCGGGCATCGCACCATAGATTCACTGATTGGGGCTAGTGTTGCATAGAGAGAGGTTCGACTGCTTGACCGGATTTTTCAGTGAGAATTGACGGGAATCGACCCCTGCTCTTGCGTATTGGTCGTGCGAGACCGCTGTTGGCGGCAGGAATGCCGCAACCCAGTGCTTGCACTTCTTGCCCACGGGCAGGGATTTCTGGTACCAATTCCGAACAAGACCAGGAAAGAGGATGCGGATTCGGACCGCCGACAACGGATGACAAGAGGTTGCTTTCTCACAGTCACACTCGCTGTGACAGCGCGTATTCGGGCGGTGGTGGTTTTTTTTTTCTGATGACTAGCTGGGCTTGCACGGAGCAGGACCCTGTCGAGACAGTTGCTGCTGCTGCTGTGCCAACTCTGCTCACTGTCTGGCCGAGGCCGCCAAGCACGACGTCCACGCATCAAGCACGACAGATCAACGAGAAAGCTGAGCTCCGACAAGGAGAGCGTCAGATTTTTATGCTATTGCGGATGAGCGAATAACATGGGTGGTGCATGTTTTGTACAAGAAGACTGTTTTTGTGATGCAGTGGTGGGCTCCGCGGCCGTCGGTCGAAGAGACGAAACGACGCGGGAGGGATCGGTGTGGTGCACGGGAGACGAGAAGTGACGTCCCGTGAAGGAGGAAAAGATGGTGAATGGTCGGAGGCTGGTGACGAATGGACAAGGAGACGGTGGCTTTGATGCTTCAGCGAAAAAGCATTTAGCGCATGATGATACCGTCGAATCGCTGCTTGAACCAGGCGGCGGTCTCCTCCTTCTTGACACGGTGGGGGGCACCGACACGGGCGACACGCTGCTTGCGGCGGGCGACACGGGCACCGGAGCGGGTCATGCAGACGAAGAAGTCCATGCCGAAAATGCCGATCGAGGGGTCGTACTTGATGCCCAGGTCGATGTGCTCGGTGATACCGAAACCGAAGTTGCCGGTGTCGGAGAAGTTGCGGCGGCGAAGCTCGTACTCCTTGACCTTGAGACCACGCTCGATGATCTCCTCGGCCTTGGGGCCGCGGATGGTGACGTGGCAGGCGATCTTCTCGTTACGGCGGATACCGAAACCACGGAGGGTGTAGCGGGCCTTGCTGGTGACGGGGGTCTGACCGGTGAGCTGCTCGAGCACCTTGGTGGCACGAGTGAGCCTGTCACCCGACTCGCCGACCGAGATGTTGACGACGAGCTTGTCGACCTTGAGCTCCTGTTGGGGAGTTGCAGATCGCAGAGAGAAGGAAAGCCGGGTCAGTAAGAGTGTCACGGGGTGCAATGTTGGAGCGCCGCCTGTCCGCCCAAAGCGATCGTGCTGTCTCGTGCATGGGAATGTGTTGTCATCTCAACGTGTTGTCGTCGCTGAGACTCTGTGATGCGGAAGTGTCGGCATGTGGCGGGTGATGGATGGTGCTGCGAGACCGATCAACGAGACGACCTAGTCTGGACTGCCGTAGACTTGCTCTGATACCCAAGAGATTGTCACAGATGTGAGCGTGTCGCGCTGGCTGAGCAACTTGGTTCGGCAGATAGGTCCGATGGCAACTACCTCGACAGATGTGGCCTATCCAACGAGAGCGATCCGTACGATATCCTACTCCAGCTTCCAGCATAACTCGTGGTCGTCCTGCCAATCTGAATGCTGCGCCCTGAACCGGAGGGCTACCATTCGTCATCCTGGCTGCTGGTTCCAATGTCGACAACGCCACAATAAGCGAAGCTTTCCTCCGAATTCCTTCTTGTTGCACTGCGGTTTCACATGGTGTCGATTCTGAAGAAGTGACGCAGATGCAGTCTACGCCCTGCGAAGGATGCTATGCTGATCGACGGCGTTGTTGCAGGGTGCTGTATGCGAAGCAGCGAGCTGTTGGCTATCTGCCTGCAATCACGGTCGGCGCTGTTGCTCTGGCTCTCGAACTGTGCAAGTGGCGGGTCGAGTATAGGGTGCTGGCATGGTCGAGTAGCTATTGCAGCATTACGACAGCGATTGCAATCGGTCCGTGAAGTCGAGGCGGCGAGGCGATGCGATGCGATGCGATGCGGCGGGGCGATGCTAGGCTGGACGGTGCGTGGCTGTGTCGATCTACTAACCTTCATAGGGTTGATAGCCTTGCTGGATTCCGCCATCTTGTGTGATTCGAATGGGTGATGATCTTGATGGATGATCGTGACGAAGAGGGCAAAGCCAGTTGCGATTCGAGGTTGGCACCCGTCTCGACAGGCTCGACAGGCTCGACCGCCTCACGGGCACTGCTGAGCTGCGCCGCTGTGCTGAAGCGCAAATTCGAGGCTGCTCAGCGCACGCTGCCTTGTTGCTGCTTGGCCTGCGAAGGACTCGGACGAATTGTCTTTGGGCGCACCGACAGTGGCGATCCAGCTCGACAATTTCTCGCCTTTTGCCCAAGAATCCTCGGCCGAGGTGAGCTCACTAGCACGTGACTGACATGTCCGGAAAATTCGTCTCACAAAAGTAAACGCAACAGGCGGTCTAACAAGCTGCCAAAAACTGCGATCTGTCGGAATCAGGTTTCCGATTTCACGTTGCCGATCTGACGACCTCTCACACACTGTCCACGAGGCCAGGTCGAGCGGATGGTGTACGTATGGTCGCTGCTTGCTGCACAAGGCCCGACTGCTACCACAGACGCTTGCCGTCGCAACTCGTCATCAGCAATCTCAGATCTCCAGATGTGCAGCAGCGAGGGCTGCGAGCGGATCGAAAGGTGCGAGAAGCGAGAACGAGCTGGGTCTTTGTAGGCCTCCTTCGTGGGCATAAATTTACTGTACTTGCGATGACGATGAAGGAAGCAATTGCCGACGATCAGCGACGTTCGCACAACGATGAGCAGTGTCTTGTGACTTGGCATTGCTGCGTGTACGCCGTTGGGAAAAAGGGCTTTGTCTCAAGAAGAGTCAGCGACGCGCGCTAGGCGTGCCAAACCGGCTAGGGGTTCAGGGTGAGCTGGCGAGGGCGGAAAGCGAAACAGCGCTCCGCCCTCTGTGATCGCTCGTCTCTCGCTCGTCTCTCTGCGCCCAGACCCAAAGCACGCTTTTCGACTCGCTCGTTGCTGCACGAACTTGAGCTGTAATGGTTGGAAAGGCGACGGCAAGCTGCAGCAAGAGCGAAGCAGACGGGAGGATGGACTGGCTTGCAAGGGCTGCGATGATCGTCGACTCGACTCGCAAGTCTGGAGCAAGAAGGATGATGGAATGCGTACTGTACAGTATCGCAGCGTGCAGTGACCGTCAGGCTGGCTGTCTAGCCGCCGCCGCCGCTGTGTTTCTATTCTGCGGCTGCAGGCTGTTGGCGATATCGGGCTTGACGGTCTCGGTTTTGAGCCTTCCTTCCTCGACGCCTGCAAGCGTGAGGGACTGGAAGGAGTTGAGCCGTGGGCCCATCTCCTATCCCTATCTTGGTTATCGCAGCGAGCCTTTCGAATCGCAGAAAGCCACCGGAGAGCGACCGCGATGTCCTATCAGCATCGGTCGTGGCTGCCACGGCCACTAAAAAGCGGTGTTTTTGTTTGGTCGTGCCATGTCATGCTGTGCTCGCGGATCGACTTGACTTGACTCGACTCGACTCGATTCGCTGTCCGTCTCGTGGCCTGTCCAGGCTGTTGGCTCGTCGAGCTGGCGCTTTGGACGCAGCACGCAAAGCGGGAAAGAGAGGTGAGACGACCACCGAACCCGAGTGACGCTGAGGATGATGATGCACTTGGCCAGTGTGTCTCGCAAGCTCAGATCGCGCAAGAGTTTCGGGATGGCCTGAATTTCAATCCTGGAACCGGGAAATAAAAATAAAATTAAATTGTAAAGCTGCGAATCGGCACTTGAGCCCTGAGCCCAAATGAAAAAAAAGAAAAGCCACACACACCAGCAGCCCAGAGGCACCGCGTGACTGTGACTGTGCAAGATGCAATCACCGCCAGCACTTCTCCACACGCCAATCGCAGCGAAAAAAAAAAAAAAGCAACACAACGCAGGGCAGTGCCGTGGCGTGCAGTGCAGAGTGGCATGGTCAGCGAGTGGCCCGTCTGTTTGGGGCCGTGGATGCCTGTTTGTTGCTGTTGATCGTCGTTCTCGCTCCTCCTCCTTCGAGTGGGAGGCTTGCGTAGGGCACACGGGAGCGCAACACGGCCTACTACCCGACCAACGGGCGGAGAGGATCAAGGGACGGGCGAGCATGCCAACTTGAAACAAGTGTGTGTGAGCACTGAAATTCCGCTTCTATATGCATCTGGCGCCGGCTGTCTAGAAACGCAATCGCAGCAGCAGCAGCAGCAAGCGACGTTTTATCCGTCAGCTTAGTTGCGACGTTGCATCACTCCCAACACTCTCTCTCGCTCGCTCTCGTACATCTCACGAGACCACTCTGTCGACCCTCCCTCCTTTCTCATCTCCTGCTCGACTCGCTTCTCGCACACCACTTTCTCGTCAGGAACACATCGAACCGGCACGCACGCTTTCCCTCTTCGCAAACCGCCCCAGATCTGCAGTGCTCTGTACCACCTCACACGCTCCTTGTTGCCATCGTCGTCATCACCACCACTCTCGTCTCGTCTCGCCTCGCCTCGCTTCGCTTCGCAGCGCAGCAGCAGCATCCTCATCACCACCACCCTCCTTGTGCTGCTATGCATCTGCTCTCATAGCCTTGGCTTCTCGGAGCTAGTCTTTCATCTACCTCTGCCTCCTCACACCTTCGCCATCACACCTTCAGCCAACACATCAGCATCTCGAGCTGATACCATGTCGACGTGCCTCATTCCATCATCGCAGTAGACGTGTCCATCTTGCAACCTCGGCCCATCCGTCACGCTCTCTTCTCCAGTTACCATGTCGTCCGCACTTGCTTCCCATTCCGAGTCTGCGCGCGTGGCGTCGACCTCTGGCTCCGACGACACAGCCGCCGCCGCCGCCTCGAGTGGCGCGATAGAACCTCCCGATACTAGTCTCCAAGCTGTGTCTGCGAGTCTACGCGGCCTCGCCATCTCC